TCTGGATGGATGGGGAACTGATGATGAGAGAGAACTGGGGTGGGGTGGAGGCAGCATTTGAATGTTGAGGCATCACATGAGGGGTGCCTATCAGATGGCTAGGTGGTGACTTGCTGTGGCGAGGGAATCAAGGGAAGTGGTGCATTTGGGACACAGTTGGCAATCCATGGCATATCTTGTGTGAGAGGAACTGAGAAAGGTTGCTGTGCTGGGAGGCTCACAGGCTAAGAAGACACACAGGAATCAAAGAGTGCAGGAAAGGTAGGAAAACAGAGGTCAGAGGACTGACAACACTCACTCAGGAAGGGAAGGATAAAATTAAAAAGAAATGCAGGTGTGATCAAAGTTGGTTTTCTTTCATAATTCAAGATATATGATGGGTATTTCTCCATAAGAATTGATCTAGGCACAGTGTTTCACACCTGTAGTCCCAGGTACTTGCTTGGGAGGTTGAGGCTGGAGGAGCATTTGAGATCAGGAGTTTAAGGCCATTCTGAACAACATAGCAAGACCCTGTCCCTCCCCCCACCACCAAAAAAATGAAGTCAGGAGCTCAGAGAGCCATCTACGCTCCCATGTTCACTGCAGCACTATTCGTAACAGCCAAGCTGTGGAAACAACCTAATGTCCTAATGGATAAAGAAGTGTGGCATATGTGTACAATGCACCATTATTCGGCTTCAAAGAGGGAGGAAATTCTGCCATGTGCAGCCACTTGGATAAGCCTCGAGGACGTTATGCTAAGTGAACTAAGCCAGTCATAGAAAGACAAATACCACATGATCCCACTCAAGTGGAATCCCAAAGAGTCAAATTCACAGAATCAAAACATGGAATAGTGGTTGCTAAGGCTGGGGTGGAAGAAATGGTAAATGACTATTACCATGTGTGTAAAACTTTAGTTAAGATGAGCAGTTCTAGAGAATGGCTGTACAACATTGTACCTACAGTCAATAGCACTGTGTTGTACACTTAAAATTTGTCAGGAGGGTAGATTTCATGTTAACTGTTCTTACCACAATAAAGAATTCATGACATATGGATTATATGTGTGAGGGTATACACGCTTACAAATACACAACCATATTCTACCCAAGTAAGCTTGAATATATCTGAAATAAAAGTGTTATCATAGATGGGTGACAGTCTCTTTGGGTCCATTTCTTTCAGAAAATGTCTCTGACATCCAAAGACAAGACAAGGATCTCTACACCCACCCATCCACGGGATCCTGCTGCCACCTTTGCAAAATAACCTACTGAGGATGAGGTCCTTGTGGTTTTTTTCTCTTTTTGTGGCCAGCACAGTACTTATATGTGGCAGGCGTAACTCTAAATATTTGCTGAAAGAATGAATGCATGAACGAGTGAGCATGGGCAAGGCTAGAAAAACAGGATCTGAGATATTGGCAAGTTACTGTGGTGGATCAAAGCTCACATTGGAGGTTGATGCCAGTTATGGAATGAAGTCCCCAGGTGAGAATGGCCATTTGTTGTGCCACCATCCAAAATACCAACATGTGGCCATAAATACATGCAAATAAATCTCACACTCAGAAAAAAAATAAGAGCAGAAAGTAAAGGCCAATATGTGACATCTGGAGTGTAGACTTTGATTTTTTATTATTTTTTGCAGTGCTGGGGTTCAAACAAACCTAAGATTTTGTTCATGATAGGCAACCACTCTACCATGGTGCTACACCTCTAGCCCTTTTAAAATTTTTTTGAGGGAGGATCTTGTTAAGTTGCTGAGGCTGCACTCAAACTTGTTATCCTCCTGACTCTGCCACCACACTGAGCAGAGAGTGGACTTTTTCTATCTGCTTTCTGTGCTTTTCAGTTTTTCCACACAAGGCACTAACTCTTCTGTTATCATTCTTCCCCTGTGCACAGAAAACTGTTTCCTGACCTGCAATTTGTGCTCTAGGATGGATTGGTCTCACAGTAGTATGTGTAATGGCTTACAAAATGAACAAGGCTGATAAGCCTGAACAATTTTCCTCTGCTGGAAGATGAGCAAACTGTGGACCAGGTCTAAACACAGGCCTCTGTGTTGAGGAGCAGACACCATACAGGGCTTATGGTTATCACTCCAAGGTGTCCCTGTGAAGCCTGGTCCCTTTGGCAACTGGGCTTCTGTGTTTATTACAACCACTGCATCCTCCCCCATCCCTCTGTAGAAAGGTTTCTCCATTTCCTCAAAGCAGGAAACTCAGGGTGAGAAGAAAGGAGGAGGAGGAGGCAGGAGTGCTGAGAATAAAGCATCTAGGTCCCCTGGACAGAACCATGCACACATGTGGGGCACTTCAATAACCTAACTTTATGATGCATGTACAGGAGGGGGTACAGGAGAGATGGATCTCACCTAGTTAGCTTGGGCAAAGTACCTGCCACCACAAGGTAATAAACAGCAGTAATTAGGCCTTTCTGGAAAACAGATGAACACTGTTATTAAAACTTTTATTATCTATATGTTTTATGTGAATCAAATTGCCTCCAGCTGCTATAATTTGGGAGCAATGAGGATGAGAGTAGAAGTAATACTAATGAGTTAAACCACAAACACATCTGTTTCTGGGGAAGGTATGGGAGCTGCTCCATGGATGGCTGGAGATGAGGCCCACTAGCACAGACCCTAAAATTCTGCTCTGGTTTGCAGGTGGCAGCCCACAGACCCCAAGGTCCAGAATGGGACCAGACCGTTCCCATAGCCTTTACTGGCATTTACCTTTCAAATCACATCCCCAGGGAGAGTGGGTTCCTAATAGAATGTGGGTAATTTTTCTCCTCTGCCCTTTGCATTCAAATGAAAATCATTACCTGTGACCATAAAAATAATTCTTTCATATTGGAATTCATCTGACCCTGTTATTTCTGTGGTTTAGAGAGTGTTTTTATATATTACATGCATAGGCAAGACAATTCTCTTCTACTACTTAAGCAAAGCCCTTAATAAATAAATAGTGTATTACATATTGTAAGTCAAAAAAAAGAAGAAAAAAAGAAAGCAGAGGTTCACTGGGCCATTCCTGGCATTTTATAGTGAAGGTGGCCTGGCATCCTGGGCTGAGGAGGTCATACAGAATCAAAGGGCCAAGTATCGCCCCTGAGGCTGCTATTTCAGCTCTGACTATGATACTGAGTCTCCTGTACTTAAGCTGTGTTCATTTGGCAGGCCCTTTGAGGGACATTTTCACTTCTAGGCCATGAAGGTGGATGGTGCTGATGGTAGGGTTCCTCTGTACAGAGCAACTGTCCTGGCTATTAAAATGGCCTTTCACTCTACAGTTGCTTCAGTAATGTGCTGGAGATGTGCAGAGTGGATCATCAGCTATGACTTGATCTCCCCCAGAGCGTCCTCACTTATTCTAGTGCAATGCCAACAACAGCAGCGAAAATGCATGCCTAAGCCTTGAAGGCCACACCTGTAGGCTCTTTGCAACTGCCTGAATCCTTGTGTGGCACCTGAGGAACTCCGAGTGCATTATAGGGCTAGAGGTGTGGCTCAAGCCTTAGAGCACCTGCTACCTACTGAGTTCAATCCAGTCCCACCAAAAAAAAAAGAAAGAAAAAGTGTGTTATGCACTGCACATGCACTAACTTCCTAGATTAGAGTATCTCTGGACCTATGTTTACGTGGCTCTGAGCTAAATTTTCCTTCTGTGTGTGCATCTTCCTTTTAGGGTGCAGGATTCTTCAAGAGAGCCACTGAGTTTGTGTTGCTCTCTATGCTGTAATTCGGTGCTTAAGTGGACTCTTGGACTTCTAGTAGCCACTTAAAATGGGCTGAAACATTTTAAACTAAAATTTACCGAGTTAAACTTCTCTCTAGGACCTTCATCAGATACACACATGGCCTACATGTGTAGTGTCATTTCCAGGCTCACATATTTCCATTAATAAAATAAACCAGCATGAATGATTCTGTAGTTATGTTGCAAATACTCCCAATTGACTTTTCACTGCATCTAAAACATTATGAGTGAGTGAAAATGGTCAAAGAGAGAGAAAACTCATCTATTTTGTCTTTGCTCATCTCAAAAAAAATATTTTTAAAGATTCTTGTATCTTACCCCAATCCTAACATGATCTCCATTTTGGGACAGGAAGTAAACACTGACCCTCCACCTTCTGAGGGGCTTATGTTTTACAAAGACTTGTGACTCCAATCAAAGAAAGGATGCTTTCCACATGATACCAGGCCACATGAGGCTGATTATGAAACAGGAAGAAATTCTTGCTTGGGGGTAAAAAAGATTAGAAGGACTCTTACTGATAGAGAAGTGAGATTCTTCATTGACAGCAAGAAGAACCTGCATTAAATTAAGTACACCTCCTAGGACTTGGGGCTCTGTTGAGTGTCTGAGATAATAAGTGGGAGAAGCATTTGAGCAATCCATTGAGGCCCAGTGTCTCTCAGTGAATATGCTACAAAATCAGTTTTTGTATTTCCTTTGTTATGTCCACACACCTGACTTGTCTGTACTCACACAAAATCCTGGTATCTGTTTGTCCTTCTCTACCCTATTGCTAATTTTTTTTGTGGTGTTGGAGCTTGAACTCAGGACCTACACCTTGAGCCACTCCACCAGCCCTTTTTTGCATTGATTTTTTTTCAAGATGGGATCTCACAAACTATTTGCCTGGGCTGGCTTCCAACTGAGATCCTCCTGATCTCTGCCTCCTGAGTAGCTGGGATGACAGGTGTGTATACTCAGGTATAGCACTGGGCCCTATAGCTAATTCTTAATCAGTTTGTTCTTGTTCTTTCAGTGGTGGGGATGGAACTCAGGGCCTTGCTCATGCTAGGCAAAGGCTCTACCACCTAGCTCTATCCCCCCACATCTAATCCTTAGTGGTACTAAGAGGAATTTTGATTCTTTCTTCCAATATCCCCTGTATCAAGTATTTACATGCTTTGTAGACATTCAACAAGAAATTCCAGCTGCTAGGAATTTCCCTGTTTTGCCCATTCCCACATACCCTCCAGGAGGCTCTTACCTGTTCCCCTGTGTGGTGCCTTCTTCTCCGCCATCCTACTCTCCTTCCTGGAGTCAGGAGGCAGGATGACTTTCTCAGGCTCTCTGGGGCTGGAGTCTGGGCCTCCAGGCAAGTAAGGGAGGGTGAGGCTCTGCAGAAGTGGCTTCCTGGGCAGAGGCGGCTTGGAGGTGGGCTGCTCCGGTGACCGGGGCTTCCCCTTTGCTTGGCCATTTGGGGACCTGGCACCTCGAAGTGAGGGGGCTGATCCACTATGACCCTGTTCTTTGGGGAGCAGGGTCAGTCCTCCTCTTTCTAGCCTGATCTCGGCACTGTATCTCTTGATTCCTTTTGCTTCCTGGGAAGAGCCATCTCTGTACTTGAGGGAGAGGGAGGTGGACCTCAGCTTGACTGGGAAGGGGCTTCTGTCCTCACTCGGCAGTGGCTCCTGAGTGGCTGGGCAGGGCTCTCCAGAGTCAGGAGTGGCCACTGCATCCTGGGGGCTCCTGCCTGCACCAGCCTGGCGGGCCACACTGTCCCCTGAGTCCTTAGAGTCATACTCTGATGGCTTTTTAGGGTTAGCTTTCCCACTCTGGAGGTCAGGAAGCACTTGCAGGTCATCCAAGGCAGCCTCACTCTGCCAGGCCAGGCTGCTCTTTACGAGGGCTCCACGGACACCTGTGGGGACAGGGCCCGAATGTTCCAGCAGGCGGGAGCTGCCTGGGCGGGACCGTGCCCTGCACGAGGACACTGAGAACTTCTTTGCACCCCCTCTCTCACTCTTCCGCCCAGGTGCAGCCCTCTCAGGACCCCCTTGGGGAGGCTCAGCCTCCTTAGCCTTGGGGCACTCTGGGGATGTGGCCTCTCTGTCCTGGGCACAGGGGCTAGGCTCCCTGGGAGGTGACTCCACAGCAACAGTGGGTGCAGGAGACCCGCTGAGGCTGGCATCCATGGTCAAAGCCTTTTGCTTTAGGCAGCTCTTGGGCACTGGAGGGCTAGGAGCCGGGGCCAGGGCTGCAGAGGGTTCTCCCTCTGCTCCATCAGGTTTGGGTACCACCAGAGTTAGCTCCATTTCCTCCAGGCAACTTTCATCTGGCCCCTCTGGATCAGAGTGTGTCTCCAAGGTGGCAGCAGTGACAATTTCAGGAGGTGTGGTGTCTCCCTCAGGGACATAGGTAGATGATGCACTTTGCACGTCTTCAGGAGCACAAAACACCTCTTCAGCTGTGTCCTCAGCCAGGGAACAAGGGCTTGTGGTGGACTGCTTCTCCTGGATTTCACTGAGGGTACTAGGGTTCAAGGAGTCTTCAGACAAAGAGGGGGATTCCAAAGAGGGGGCTGGGGTTGTCACAGGCTCAGTGACCTCTGGAGTGGCTGGGCGGCTAGAGGGCTCATCCCTCGGGGAGCTCCCTTCCTCCATGCTGGCACTGAGTGCTGGGCAGTGCTGCAGGCGGCCACGTCTGGCACGGGCTCCTCCGGGGGGCAGCAAAGTGACTGGTCCCCCAGGCTCAGGCTCTTTGTCCAGCATTAAAGCTTGCTGCTCAGAGCTGGGGTTCTCTTCTGTGCTAACTTGGGGCAAAAGCTTCTCCTCATATTCTTCCTCTTCTTGGGTGCTTATCAGATCACTCAGGGATTCAGACTGTGCCCGCTAGGAGAAATAAAGATAAGACCTCATCACTGCAGCAAATATTAGACAGCCTATGACTTCTCTGTTTTCTAAATTTTAATCTCTCCTTTACTGGTCCATTTGGAACTCTGAGCCATAAACTCAGAAGAACAATGGCAGTTACACCCTCAAAATAAATGCTGCCTACAGTTCTTGTGGACAAGCCACAAAACCAGTGGATGCTACTCTAGAGTGAAGCAGAGGGGTGGGGACCAACATGAAGTCAAGTATCTGCCATGCTCTGTGCTCCACACTTGTTATTTCATTTAACCTTCGACTCGTCCAAGGGAAGAAGGGACTGTCATTTCCTTTTTGTATTTGAAGAACCAGGAGCTCAGAGGTGTCAAAACCTTCCTAGAGGATGAGCTAACCAATAGCTAACAGGTGACCCAGGTGAACAGCTAGTGCTGTTCTATGATCTCTGAGCCAGTCTCTAAGGTCAATGCTCTCCAGGGATGTGCCCTCATAGCAAAGCCAGACTGGTTTTTCTAAAAGATGATTCATATCATGTCAAGTATGGTTGACAGCCAACTATAGCTTATGGAATAATTTTTTTTAATTTCAGCTAAATTTAAAGTTTTACAATCTCTTATGTTGTTTTTCTATGCACATCAAACCAAGGCTCCACTAGTGTCCCAGACTCTGGGGCTGATCACTGACCCATATCTTGTACCTCAGCGTACAACCACCACCTCAAGGACTGTCTAAAACTCTATTTCCTGTGGGTAACCTGGCCTGTAACATATCATTCCCGCTTCTCTGAAGCACTACTGCCTTGCCACTCTTACACTACACTATGGTGTGGTTCCTCTGAAATTCAAATTCTAGTCCAGTTTTCTCCTTATTGTCACAAAGTCTATTCCTCCTCTCCTAGGAAAAAAGTGGAAATGAAGGTAGTCACAAATAATTCAAAAGCAACACATGAAAATGACCCAAAGGTTGAGGGTAATGAGGTTGATCCTTTAAAAAAATTCCTGAAGTCAGACCTCAGGAGTTACTCAAGCTGTTGCATAAACACAATTGGCTCGGTCCTCCCCTTTTCTAAAGGAGCAAATGTGACACTATGGGGTATGTTTGCATAGGTTTTGTTGTTGTCATTTGTTGTTAATTTTTATTTTTGCACGGCTAGGGATAGAACCCAGGGCCTCATGCATGCTAAGCAAGTGCTCTGCCGCTGAGTTACATCCCCAGCCCCTGTTATTTCAGCATTTTCCAGGCGGCAACTGCTTGCTAAGCAGACACAGGGAGACTGGGATGTTTGTGACTAATAAGCTAATCACTGCCAAAACACACAATCCTATTCTTCAGATTTAAAAAGAAGATGTACAAATAAATCTATGGGAACTTTTCCCAAGCTGCAGGTTCTTGACTTTGCTGTGTCACTGGCCTTTTGCTACCACAGGAAGTCATTGATGTTGAGTTCTCCAGGATATGTGGGTCATGATTGAAAACCATCAATCACACAATCCAGGCTACATCGGTGGAAAGCTGGGGGGCAGTTCTGGCTTGGATACCTCATAGCTGTGGCAGGACAGGGCAGGATGAAGGCTATTATGGAGTGTGGTCTCCAGAAGTTGACCTCAGATGCTGAGTAGAGCCTTTGTGGAAAGCAAGGCTGCTTTTGCCTGGCTCAGGCTCTCTGGCCAAGTACAGCAGGCAGGAACTCAGGGTCCCACACTGCCAGAGTGGGCTGTGCCCATTCTGTCTCTGCAGCCTTCCTGTCACTTCCTCCTCTGCACCCTCACAGTGGCTTGGCACCCTGGAAGCACCCTGAGGAAGTGGAGATGGAGGAACCCATTGCTCAGCTTGCATGATGAAGATGCTATTGTGGCTGGAAGGTCATCTGCCTCATCTTGCCAGAAAGACAGCTCCTTGGAGCATTGCCCACTGGAGTCTGGGCAGAGCACACTGCCAAACAATGAGCAGCAATGGGGGCAGAGAGGAGGTGTAAGTCTCTGAGACACAGGTCTTGCATTTGGCAGCTCCTCTGTGCACGAGACCTGAAGCTAGTCATTCAATCATAGCAACTTCTATTAAAATGGAGTTGACAATGTTCCCTGGTCCTGGTACCACCTGGCTCGGGCTGTGGACCAACTGGCGTAGTGAGATGTGGGTGTAAACTTTATGTGTGTCCTGCATCTACTGCATCTGGAACCACACACAGAGTGTGCTTCTCTGCAGCTAGGTAAAATGCTGAAGTAACAGCAAACAGTTATCTTTCTCAACCTCTGTTGTTATAGGAGGCAGATGGGCTCATTCAAATGCATGCAACCATGTATTTCAAATTTGTAACAAGTATCACAGTCTTGATAGCCAAGGTTTTGCTTTACAAAATAGGGGTCTTAAGATAAGAAGAGCCCTTTTATTCTTTTTCCCCCTACAGTTCCAAATGATTCAGAGCCTTGATGATGTGGAGTACAGCCCCCTCTCCCATAGCACAGCTAGAGAATACCTGGCCAGGCAAGGATACAAGCAAGAACAGAAAGAGACTGCAGTGGAAGTTTTAAGAAAGCCTGGGCTCTTGAGGTGAGGGAGTAGGTGATGGAGAAAGAGGACCCAGATACTATGGGTGGGTCAAAAGAGCAGGGGACAGCAGGACCTCATGTCCAGTGAAACCCAATGGGAGAGAAAGTTCCCACAGGACAGGAAGGCAGCAGAGAGAGCAGCATGAGCTCCTTCCCATCCTTGGAGCAGAAAGGGTACGTCTGGAAGCATCTTGATGGGTCAAGGCACGAGGAAGGGCCTCAAGGTTGGGAAGAGCGGTCTCAGGATCAAAGAATGAAGGGGGTTCTGGGCATGATGGACAGAGGCCTGAAAGGTAGGATCCATTGGTGAGTGGAGATGAACTGGGAAAATATGAACCCCTCTAAGAGCTAAAGATAGCCATGCCTGCTCCCTACCAAGCAGGGAAGGGGAGAAGGGAGAATGGAAACACTAGAGTTGAAAACAAGGAAATACTATGTCTACATGTTTCCCCAGACTGACTAAATCAGATTTTCTGTGAGTCTACAAAATGAGATTCAAGAACCAAGTCAAGTTCAAAGGTAAAGAAAGAGGGTTATAGCTCAACCTATGGGGCAGTGAGAGGGAATGCTGCATTCTATCTGGAATATGAGCTGGACTTCCCTCTGTCACCAAATCCTGCCCATGCCTGAGCAAAAGACATTTTGTGGGGGACAAGACATAGACATGAACCCAGAAGGGGCTGGCCCTGTGGCTCCACTCGGCTGGAGCACGGACAGGTCTGGAGGTCCTGGACCTCATCATGTTCCCAGAGCACACAGCTCTATCAACACACTGGATACACAAGCATGTATGAAGGGCCCAGTCCCCAGCTGGCATGTTAGTCTGCAGGTCACCCACCTGCATCTTCCTCTGGCATTAGTTCCTTCAAAGGTGGAAGGAGTTTACAAAGCACCTCCTACAGGTCCAAGAGGAAACTAACTAACTATATGGGGAGTCTCTAAAGTTCTGAGTGGGTCCAGCCACTGTCTACATAAGTATTGAGTCTGTCCTGGACACTTCATCAATACCCCACAATCATGTCTCCACGGCAACAGAGGGAGGACATTGATCTGTCAGTCTTTTCCTCAGCACTGTCATTCCCTGTGGCCAGACTGGCCCCTCACTCTGTACTTTACCTCTTCCAAGGCTGGGGCACTACAGGCTCAGTCAGGCAAAGGAGAAGGCAACAATGTTACACAGACTCTAACACACTGGTTACATGAGGCCAAGTATTCCCTGAATCAGCTGATCACTTCCAGAACTATGAGATGATTATTTCTCCACATAGCATACCCAAAGAGGGGTCTGGTCTAGCAGAGGTAGGTCCCTGCCCAAAGCAGGCATCCACTCCAGTAATTCAGCTTTGTCATTCATTCACTCATTCATCCATTCAACAAACATTTACTGAATGCCAGCTCTGTGACTTGCATTGCCCTGGGGCCTGGAAGTACTGTTGGGGACAGGGGCTCAAAGTGAGCACATGCATTTACAAAGGTCCCTTCTGTGTATGGCAAGTTCTCTGTAGGACTTGAAAGATCATGGTGAGCCTTACTGGGGACAGAAACTATGAGCTGAGCCAGCCTGGAGCAAGTGTGTCTTGGGCAGAAGACATAGAAGGACTAAGGTTTGAGGCTGGAGACAGCTTGAGGAGCTCAAGCAGCAGAGAGAAGGCCAACGCACTGACTGAGAAAGATGGGTGTTAGGCCTGGCACCATACAAAGCAGATTCTTGATAAAGTGTTTGTGGAATGCACAAGTAACTGCATGAATGGATATGTGAATGGAGTGTTTATGCAAAGGAAAGCCATCTCATTTATGCTGAAAATGCAAGCAACTCCAGCTCCTGCAGAGGGGTCCAACTGACTATGGGGGTGTTCAGAGGGAGCATGTGACCCAGTGCAGGGGGCGGGGAGTAGCTGCCACCCTGCCTGTACATCCTGTGTGGAGTAGGAAGTCTAGTTACCGATGACAGCCGCCTCATTTTGCGGTTGCGAGGCTTGACCAGGAGCTTGTGCTTGGCTGCAGAGTTGTCCAGGCAGGAGGAGAATTCTGGAGGGTGGCTGAAATCAGCCACAGGTGCCAGGCTGCTATCTGAGATCCGGGAGGAGATGGTGGCATCACTCATGTGCTCTGGAGACTGTGGCCGGGATGAGGGCACTAAAGAGATCTTCATGGGACAGGGAATAAATATACCAAGCATTAACTTCATGACAAGAGGTAGTAACAGCAAACACTTCAACCCTCCTTTCGTCGTACTCTTGTGCTGTCTTTGGGCTTTATCTGGGAAGCAATATGCTCAATTTGGCTCTTGACAGGAAACATTCTAGAACACTCCTTTAGAAAGATAAATGGCTGAGAATTCAAAAAAAAGTTGGGCCAAGCCCTGGAAATCTGCAGTCCTTTCAGAGGCTCCCTCAGCAGACACTGTCCTCCCCACCTCCATCACTATTTTCTCCAGTGGAACAGATCAGCCTGATGTCTCCAAGGGCAGAGGCACCTGCTCCCATCTCTGGAAACTGAGAGGGTGGTAAAAGGTGTGCTTTGAGGCACAGGAGGTACCATGCCCCCATCCAGCATTCCATCAAGGAAGCTTGCTTTGTTCATTCTCAAAGATTTCTGAAACTTCAGGGAGAAATCTGGCTTTAAGTTGCCATCTAGTGAGTTGTGGACATGTTACTAGTTTATACCTCTGCAGTGAGGAACTGACAGTCAGCAAAGGGCAAAGCACTGCCAGGGAGGAAGAGGATCTGGGAGCCATGCAGACAAACGAAGGCAACACCATAAGACACCTGCCCACTGAAGTTGGCGAGTCCCTTCACAAAGCACAATCTCAGCACAGAGCAGTGAGCAGTGAGCTTGTTCGGCCCAGAGCAGGGGTGAGGTAGAGAGGAAGAAGCTGGGAGCTGCTGGATTTTGGTGCTACCCTGAGATCTTCAAACAAGCCATCCTTTCTATTTGAGTATGGTGATAAATACTATTTGTCACATTTTAGCTTTTAACTTAAGAACGTACTTTTATTCACTGCACAGTGATTTAGTAAGGCTTCATGAAAACAGCCATTGCCATCTTCCAACGGCAAGCTCCCAGGGCTTGTTTTCTTTTCTAGGAACCCCACACATAGGAGGGACCCAGCAGCTTTCACCAATGACATTATTAAAGGGACTAACTGACTCAGGGAGTATCCCTGCAGAGAAATGACCTCAGAGAACTTATTTTCCTTGTTCACAAAATGGTCCTTTGTATTTATCAATGGCAGCATAAAGTTTATTCCTGTAAGCTGAGAGGAGATAATTATCAAATTGAGGGAAATGGGTTGGAAGTAGATACTATCTAATTTAACTCTTAGCTAACTCAGGTACTTGTGGGAATAAAGTAAGGAAAAGAAAAATAAACTGCAGGACTTCTGGCCATGACTACAACTGTGCCTGAAGCTTTGGCTTCGACTGTTTGTTACACCTGGTGACTCAGGAACGTTGTCTTAGATTGAGCAGGTGATACCTTTCCCAGATAATCCTCAAGGGTCTCAGACAGGATGTGCATATTTCAAAGTTGTACAGAATCCTTAACTTTACTCTCTATGTATAGCGACTTAATAAAAAACATTTTTTCTCATTACCCAGGATTTACGAGAACAAAGATGAGATATAAACACAGTCATTGCGCACATGAGAACAATTACGTCTGTGACAAACATGGGCCTTTGGTTACCCATCTATAAACCTAGCATCCCAAAGGCTGCAAATAGTGAACAGCTGCTGCCCTGATCTCCATGTGGGTCTCTCTGCATTGGTACTGCCTGGGAGGATGGCTCTGGCTCTGGCTCTGACCCCTAGGTTGGGGGATCTTGTCATGGAGTTTAAATTCCCTGACCTCTGTCCATCAGCAAATTCTTCCCTAATGCCACAGCTGATCTCCCCACTAGGGAACTCAGCTGTTCCGGCCTCAGAACTCTCACTTCTGTTGAAGGTTCTTGGGTACTGGAAAGACCAACTCATTCATAACTCAGGAGAATTGTAAGAACTGTGATCTACCTTTGATCAGTGATGTGCTTACATGGGGGTGGGGCTTGATGGGTGTCTGGGGAGAATGATGAAGCAGGGAAGCTGGGTCGTATTTTCATGGATGGGCTGATAGCGTCCAGACAGTATTCACATCTGCACTGCTTATTCCTAGTCACTCAATTCTTCCTGAAGTCTGTGCTTCTAGATGATTCTGGAAGAGGAGGATTTAAAAGTCTAGCAGGTGGCCTCCTATGGGAAATGCAGCTCAAAGGCTTCTGAAGCAATTCCTTGATGTTCAGAAACTTTTGTTAGGGATGATCCTGGGTGATAGCTGCTTTCCAATGTTCATCCTCAAAGTGAGAGACTCAGCCACTGAGGAGTAGCTAAGAGTGGTTCACATGGGACTGGCCATCAGACAGGAAGCAGGGGGTGGGACCATGCCTGTGGGTAAGGAGATGCCTGCTGGCTCTGCAGGGAAGAAGAGGCACCTACCTACTTGATCTCACTTAATCCTTCCCCAAACCTTTCCAGGACACAAATTCCAAGAGGTGCCAAACCTGACTAAGATCTTCATAGCAGAAAACCTAGCATATGACCAGTGAGACATACAATCTGGTGGTGACACAGCCTGTGCATTTACACAAGTGCTCTACCACTGAGCTACACCCCCAGCCCTAGATGTGTAATCTTAACCACAATCACCAAGTCAAGACTCTTTAGTTGTTGATTCATGTGGCGATGAACTTCAAAAATGACTTCACATATTTTCTGAAAACCTTATCCTGTCAGGAACATCAAATATTTGCTCCTAAGGATATTTTTTTTCACACACTCATCTTACAATGGTCTGTCAAACGTGGACCTGGGGAAGGTGACACACAGGATAAAATGAAACAATACTATCTTCTTGAGATCTAAAGTGCCATTATACCAAATGCCATGTGTTATACAAGCACATTTAAAATGGGTGCATTGTTTTTTCCTCTCAGTCCGCCAGTTGTGCACAAAAAGCTCTCTGGGCTTAAAATTCAATGAATGGATCCTCCAAACTATGATAGTAAAGACTGCCTATATTTTTCCATCTTAACAACCCAAATTTTGGTTTCCTATGAAGCTAGTGGGTTGTGCATATTACCCAATAATTAATAAAAACTCAGAACTTCTTTTAAAAAAATAAAGTAACAACCATAGGAATTAGCCCCCTGGCCTAACATGAGTGGGCCCTATGCGGCTGATTGGAATTTGTACATCATGGTGCCGAGAAGGTTTGGAGCTGGGCTCAATCTTTAATGAATGGGGCTAGATTATACTCGTCTGTCCTGACTGTCCTGTCTAAAGTCAGAAAATCAGGGTGCTGTGAGTCAGAGACCCATGGGATGGGAAGAGATAGTCAGTCAACAGCTCCCATGTGTCTTCCCACCACGTGGCCTGAAACTCACAAAGTTACATCTATGCCTGAGAGCGGGACAATGAAACTGTACATGGGAGTATTTTAAGGCGCAAAGGAATACAGGATTGCTCATCAGCATGGATTACCTAGTCCTTCCTGAGGCCGGAGAAGAGTGAGTAGCCCACTGTTCTCTTAGAGTAAGCAGGGATATGCTCTGTCTGGAGCAGAATCCTGGAGAGAGCAATTCTTTTGCTAGCTCTCTGAGAATCCCCATTCCATGGCTGACTTAAACTCAGCCACATCATCACTGACACTCTGGGACCCACAACTATACCCCAAATGAGGAGCAGTTACTGAATATAAACCAGAACAACTAGTGCAGCCCTACAACATCACTGTGAGCAGCCCCTCAGCCAGGCCAGAGGTGAAAGTGTTCTAAGGATAACCAGGGATACAAAACATAAACTCTGGCCTTCATTTGTTTTCCATTTGTCAACTCCAACTGCATCCACCCAACAGCAAGGCTTATCTACATGGGGAAAATGACCATCTATTTTATCATTTATGTATGAGAACATTGTATTGGTGTTAAGTGCTCCTACTTTGATAAAATAACATTTTATTGTTATTGCAGCATGAGTATCATGAAAATTGCATCATGAGTATGCAGGAATGTTTATGTACAAGAAAGATCTCAATTCCTCAGGAGCCTCCTCTTGGATACCATGGGGATGAGTTTCCTGAGGTCATAAACTCCTCTCCCGCCTGTCAAACTTTCCCTGCTGCCTTGTTTACCAGCAACAGACCTCATGTTACTCCCCCTAAACCAACAGGTTCTCATGGTCATGACTCTGACATGGAGCTGAGATTAAGGGATATATGCTTACTGTTCCCTTTGTCCATAGGTCAATGTCATGGTAACAGAAAACTCACACAAAGGTATCTCCCTTCTTTTAAATGGATTCTGGGTCTTGTCATCTGCTCAGAAAGGAAAAATGACGTAGGGGTTTGACTGTATCAGATCTGCCATACCACCATAAAAAAGATGTCACCAAAACCTTATCTCCTAATCAGACCTGAATTTCTACTCTAAGAATGAAAATAAACAAAGTCCAAGAGCCAACTGTGTGGCTCCAGTGACCTGGGATGCCTCACTTCCCTCACTCATGGAGATCTCCACTGGGGATAGGGGGTGGGGGAAGAAGCACACAGAGGCCCAGGAGCTCCCGCTGCCCTCAGTGGCTGGTTTGATGGAAACATTCAGTGACACAGGCTGCACTTGCCTTTATGGTCGTGCTGGGTCCCACATCATGCAACAGGGACATCTCTGGGGGACTCCGGGGCAGCCCGTCATCCTCAGAGCTCATACCAGTGTCCTCTGCCCGCTTGGCAGGAAGTCCCCCCGGAGGCGGTGGTCCCATTTTCACATTACATTGTATTTTTAACTAGATTGAAAGAAAGAGCATGTTTTTAGCATTTTCATCAACAACAGCTATCAACAAATCTTCCTCCTCTGATTCATTCACTCAAGATATGTCTTCAATGCCCTTGTGTAGTACAGAGCACTGAGCAGATAGAGCATCTGCCACCCTGCTCTCTCACTGCCATCTCTCTTGGTCATTTAAGTTGTAACTTAGAGTGAGTCAAGATCCAGGTGTGAGTAACTTGAGTGTCTTAGGCAAACCGTGAAGTATATGTGAGTCTACTTTAAATATATCGGATAACCAAGGAGAAATCATTTGGAGTCTTCTGGATTGATACCTGACATATACAGCAAGTGATACCGCCAAAGAAGTGCTTACCTGCAGAGCTTTAATCCGGTCACACACGTTTTCTTGGGAAAACACTCGCACTGGCCGAGCTGGGTCTTGTCCTGACTCAGGAATGAAAATACTGTCGTGTGAGAGGGCCCGGCTGCCCAGTGTGCCCCTGGACTCCCTAGGATAAAAGAGCCACTGTGAGCCTCTGGCCACCTCCATCTGTCACTGACTCCTGGGGCACCCAGAGAAAGGGGGGTGGGTTAGCGGCACATCATACATGACCCCTCTGCTGTGCTTAGTTTTTAGTTGCCCCTCACTTTGGTTTATCCCCCTCACTGTCAAATACCACAGGCTACTATCAGGAGCACGGTATAGAGGGGAATTTTCCTAAGAGATATGAAGGTCGAAGGAAGTCTTTTTATTAGTGGAAAAAACAAGGTTTGACAAAGTGTGAGGTCCAAGACAGCATGCCTGCAGAGAAGAAGGGCTGGTGCTGGCTAGGTTCTGTGAAAAACTGTCTTGGATGTCCTGGGAGGGTGAGGCCAGGGCCTGAGGGCCCCTCAGTGAGCTGGAGGCAGTTTACACAGCAACTAAGGTCCTGCTTATAGAACATCCTCTGAAGATGGGTGAAACCACACATCTGTGGCTCCTTTGAAAGAGAACTGCAAATCTGTAAAAGCCATGCCTTGTTTTATGATCTGGCATGGTCCGTGCAACCCTACCACCATGCTATGTTCTGGAGCATAGACGGCAGGTCCCTCTATCATCATTAACCCCGGCCCCGAGCTCAAGGATCTGATTTGGATCTGAACCCACAGGACATTCATAAAATGTGCTCAGAGGATGTGGGAATTAGCTGTCAGATTTTCCTAGAAGCCTAAACAATAGGTGGAAGGAGATGACTGAGACCCATAGAGAAGGAAGGAAAGCCACCTCTGCATACATGGGACATCTTGTGCACACTAGCCCCACCCCATCCTCCCTGGGCATCCTGTCTTCTGTGGGGCATTGGAGACTGAGGTGTGGCCCTGCCCTACTGTGTTGGTTGGTGGCACTGCCTTGTAATTAAACTTTTTAGCCTTCAATAGCAAGCTTGCAAGTGGGAACCTATGGCTCCCAGAAGGGTGTGTCTTCATAGTTCAGGGAAGAAATCAACTCGGTAAGAACACATGGTCCTCTCTGCCAATAGCAGCTATTAACACAAAGGTCACACACACATCTGGATTTCCTTCCAACAGCGGACAGCCACCATGTGGGTGACAAAGATCTCTTTGCATTGGGACCAGGTTCACCAGATGAAGCTAAGTAAGAACCTAACAAACTCTGCAGAACAATGTTCATAGTATGACAGCTGTGTTTGGGAAAATGGGGGATAAATACATCTATGAACATATGTGTGTTTGCTTACAAATTTTTTTTGGTGGTACTAGCATTTGAACTCAGGGCCTTGAGTTTGCTACACAGGTGCTCTGATTGCTTTAGCCACATCATCAGCCCATGTTTGCTTATATTTTTAAAAATAAGTAAGAAGGATAAGTAACAAATGAATACGAGTTGTTTCCTTCAGGATAAAAAGAACTAGAAGGGCAAACAGGGTCAAAGTTACCTTCATTTACAATTTTGTCTTTGGAACTATGGAAATGTTTTACACAAAGACAAAATCAAACAAAAATGGAAACAAAATGGTCTCTAAAACTAGAAAGCATAATTTCATGTTAGGCTGTTGACAGAACACACAAAGAGAAAGTATGATTTCAAGTGACTTTAACTCTATATCCAAATGACTTTTCATTCCATATCTGGATTAGAATGAATTCTAAGAACAACACAAAGATATCAAATTGTACCCAGTAGCTTTATTAGCAGTAATATAAACAGTTTTAAACAGAGTATAAAACAATATTGTAATATGTAATCTCTGTGTGGGAAAGGGAGCAATAAAATTGCTATCTTATATTAAGAGATTACTATAATCAGAATTACTGATTACTATCATCAGAAGTCAAGTTTTTCAGCATAACAGAAAAGAGAATACAAAGAACAAAGAAGTAAAAAATTGTCTTATTAAACTTGAATCATAAATAAATAAAAATGATTTATTCTCTTAGAAAATAAGACACATCTTAGCCATATCCACTAGAAAGGACTAGAAGCAATGAGAGCCAATTAGCAATCATCCCTGGGCAGCCAGATTGTCTCTGAAACCATTTCACACTTAAAGAGAGGAGGAACCAGGATCTTTGAGAAAAAAAAAAAAAAAGACATAAACCTGGCATTTCTCATTGTGCAGGAAAGCAAGGAAGTTTTCAAAGATGGATGGGCTCATGTCAAAAGAATCCAGGAGCTAATCTGAAGTGACTCTCGATAGTCCCAGATGGGACAATTTTAGCATTTAAAGTGAATGAAGACTGCTATGGAGTAAAACAAACCAAACATATAAAAATCAATGTGCTCACAATGATACTTGAGTTAAAAAAAAAAAAGAAAAGAAAAATCCAAACTCATGGCCACTATTGGGAGGCATGCATAGGGTACCAGGTCATTAGTCTGAAGCAGAGTCAATGTTGGCCTGTCTTTCCTGTACAGATTGTGTCAGGGCAACCTTGGAGCTGATGAAGGAAAGCTCTTCACAGAAGAGATCCAGGGCCTAGCATGGTGGATCACACTTGTAATTCCAGCTACTTAGGAGGTGGAGATCAGGAGGATGGAGGTCTGAGGCCTGCCCCAGGCAAAAAGTGAGAGAACTTAGCTACAAAAAATAAAGCAACAAGGGTTGGGGCATGGCTCAAGTGGTAGAGTGCCTGCCTGCAAACCCAGTACTGCTAGTGTGTATGTACAGGCGAGGAGAGTGGAAAGAAGAGAAATCCAGATAACAAATGTAAAATGAACAATGGAAATAGAAAAACCACAATTTTGCAATGAAATATTGGCTCATCAGCAAATGTTAAGAGGTGTAGACTGATGGAGGGATCACGCTGACAACCTGATGATCCAGGGCTCATCTGAGCCTCAGTGGACAAGAGACAACCAGAAAATATTCAGCAAGGACAGGACACACCCAACACTATCTCGAGCCTGAATCTAATCACTCTTCTAAATCAATGATTTACAAGGTCCTGAGAGCATACAGGCACATGTTCAATTGAACAAGGAGAACAAATTCAGAGTGCAAGACATTCTTCAGGGCAAAGGAGCTTGTGCTCCACCAAATCAATGACAGGAAACGAAGAGGGGAGGGCGCAGGGACGTTGCTACAGATGAAGAGACTTAAGACGTTCACTGCACAGACACAGATGTGATAAATGGGCATCAACTTAAGCCCACGGGGCCCATATGGGCTTTGCCAGCACTAATGCACCTCAGCCCAGGGAATCACCCTGCCACGGCCATGGACAGGAAGTTGCTGCAGACTAAAAGGCACACAGACGCTCATGGGAACTAGAGGACTGGTCTCTTCCTCAGTGCTGCTCTTGAAAGACATCACTGTCACTTTCTGGACTCATCCATACCCCATCTCTAATCTTCCTCTAGTTTACCAGGCCAGTCCTGGTAAACTGTTACCAGTAATTGAAGAATAGCTCCCTGCTGGGTGCTGGGACTAGAAAGACAAAAAGGGCCCTGTCCCCACTTTCCCCAAGCTTCTGTCAGACAGAGGGCATGACAAGGGCGTGGCTGGCTATGCTCCAGCTCCAGGTTGGAGGGGTCACTCCCAGGCCTGTCCCCAGACCAGCACCATGTGCTCCTCAGAAAGTGGGGTGGTGGGTGTTAGAGCTCCTCTGGGGCTAGCCAGTGATGACAGTTAATAATTGGTAATGTTATCACCACAAAACTTTACTCCCCAAAGGTCCAGAGCACACTGCCTAACGAACAGCTAGGTCCCACCACGCTTCATGAGGCAGGCGTTCCCTGCTAGTGCTGCAAACGCTTGAATCAAACCTAATCTTTCCTCTTCGGTCATTTGGTGCCACCAAGTGGTCAGTATGATTTCTACACCTAAGAGCACGTGAAGAGGCAGCAGAGGAGAAAGGAGCAGGAGAAGGGACAGGACACCCTTGTTGGGATGTTCAAGCCCAGGACCTCATGTCAGCTGCCCCGTCCCCCAACTCTGATGGACAGTATGCATGCTTCCTATTCTCAAATAAGAGGGCCAAGTTTTAAAAGCTGGATAGCAACAGATGACAGAAATAACAGCTGGAATAACGAGTGTACACATGACAACCATATTTTAATGAAACACAAGTTACAAAAATAGGGATTTCTTCACTAGATCCCCTCAAATTTTCACTCACATTGGGTCTGTTATTCCTTGTGATATTTGTGGTTGGTTTTTCCTAATACTGAACAATAGAAAGTTTCTCTTTACCCAGCCTCGCCTCCATCTAGTGAGAGGGCTCTTATTAGACTACTCAGTATTCAAGTTTAGAGAAATACATGCTTCTAGTATCATATTCCAGGCCCTCAAAAGAGTTTTTAGTTAAATTAAGCCAGGGTTCCATCCTAATCCTGCCACTTTTAGCTGTAAGATGTTGGGCAGGTTCCAAAGCTTATCTATGGCTTTTTTTGCTCATTTATATGGTGGTGCATAGTATCCATGCTGACAGTCATCATAGACTTTTGATACATACAGCATGGGACACAGCAACTATCCAATCAGGTTTTCCCCACAAAAAACTACTTACTCAAGTTCATCCTCAGAGTCATAGCCCACTGGCCCTGACTCAATGGCAATGACCTCAGTCTTGGCCTGGTTTTGTTTCCAGGTGCTGTTTCCTGTCGACGAAGGTGATTCCTTTCTCTTCTTCTTCCCAAACAACTTCTTGAATGTTTTAAATTTGGATTTTTTCTTTCCTATACAGATCAAAAGAAAAAAATTAGGAAGAGCGTGTTTGTGTGCAGGTATAAGATAGGCACACAATGGAGGAAAGCCAGGCTTCTGCCCTCACAGCAGCTGTGTGTTTCTGAAACACCACGGCCAGACAGCAGATGCACTGCCGTTTTCCACACCTGAAAACAAATCTTGATTTCTGTTTATTTAGGATATTTAAGTAAATGAGCCGAGATGTCTTTTGAGTATGATCACAGAATCAAAACTCAAGCAACTTTTCTTCTTATATGAAATCAAATTGAATCTCTAAATATACATAGGTAACAACAAAAGTCTGGTTGAGGTAAAGGCTATGTGATATCCCAAGTTCTTTTAAAAAATTATTATTTTATTCATATGAATTTGTGGGATGCAGTGTGACAATTTGACATTTGTACAGGTGAATGATCAAGTTGGGATAGTTGACATTTCCATCTCCTTAAACGTTTTACTTTTTTGATTAACACATGATTTCTGGTATACAGTGTGATATTTCAATACATGAATATATAGTATGTGCTGATCAAATCAGGGCAATTAATATTTCCATTTCCTTATCATTATTTGGGCCAGTAGTCATTTTTTCCTAAGGATATACTGGAGCTATTGTTCCACGGTTTTGTGGGTTCTCATGGATAGTATTACACTGTAGAGGAGGCAGCCATCAATTTTTCACTCCTGTGAAAAGTAATCTTTTTTTCCTAGTGGTTTTGAGATTTTTTTAAATCTGGACTTTGGGTTTCTTCCCTTTCAGTGCACACATTGCCTTTTATTTATCCTTCTTGGGATTCACTGGATTTCTTAAGTCAGTGGATTGGTTATCATTGTAACCAATTTCAGAAAATTCTCAGCCACTCTCTCCTGTTGAAACTGTGCTAAATACATGTTACAACTTTTCACTTGTCCTATGTCTCTGTCCTCTTTTTTGCATTTTCCATCTTTTCATCCTCCCATCCTACACTCTATAATTTCTTGTGATCATGAGCTGATACAATGAGTTAAACCCATCCACTGAAATTTTAGTAATTATATTTACTTTCAGAAACTCATTTGATTGATTTTAAATCTCCTATATTTTTAAAAATTATTTTTAAAGCTTATTACAGTAAAAACACTCTTTCTAGCATATATAGAGTAGCACAATTCTCCACAATCAAGATGCTGAACTTTTAAGGACTGAGTGCTGTTGCTCATGCCTGTAATTCCAGCTGCATGGGAAGTGGAAATAGGAAGATTGTGGTCCCAAGCTGGCTCCAGGCAAAAAGTGCAAGACCCTATCTGAAAAATAACTAAAGCAAAAAGGGCTGAGTTTTGATTCAAGTGGCAGAGTGCTTGCCTAGCAAGTGGGGGGCCCCGAGTTCAAAGCTCAGTCCCACCAAAAATAAAAACAAAGATGTGATGCAGAACTGAACATCAGTCAGTCCCCAAAATTTCTTGCTGCTTTTCTGTAGTCAAACCTTCCCCTCCTTTTAACCCCTGGATGGGTATCTTCTCTGTTCTTATAGGTTAGCCTCTTTCAGGATGTCATATTACATATATATTCTGGCTCTTTGACTTAAAGTCCCATTCATGTTGCTATGTCTATCAATAGCTTATTCCTTTTTATGGCTGAGTAGTATTCCATTATATGGAAATACTGATTGGTTGAATCCTTCAACCAGTTGAAGGACATTTGGATTCTTTTCTGGTTTTAGCAATTATTAATAAAGTTGCTATATTTTTGTGTAAATGTAAGTTTTCATTGTTCTTAGGCAAATACCTAGGAGTTGGGAGTGTGTGCCTAACTTACAAGAAACTGGCCAAATGTTTCCCAAATGGGTGTTCCTTTTTGCACCCTCACTAGAACTTTTCACTTTTCTTTCTTTAGATGTTCTAATAGTGTGTAATGTGTCTCATTAAGATTTTAGTTTGCACCGTTTAGTGATTATACATGTCGTGTATTTATTCATGTGTTTATTTGCCATTTGTGCACATTCTTAAATAAAACATCTTTCAAAATGCTCTGCCCATTTTTTAAAATTAGGTTTTCTTCTTTTTGAATTTTGATAGTTATTTTTTTTTAAGTTTCAGCAAGGATTTATTTTAGTATAACAGGATAAAGTATAGACAAGGGGGGTTGTAGAGAAAAAGAGAGAAACATTTCCTGCCTTCATGCAGGAAATGGGAGCAAAGATTCTGAATTTTGATAGTTTATTTATTTATTTGTGGTACTGAGGACTGAACAATAGTTTTAAAGACATGGTAGATATAAATATTTTATCAAGTATGATTTTCAAATCTTTTATCCAGTCTGTGGCATGTATTTTTATTTTTTTACTTAATAGTGTTTTCCACAGAGCAAAAGTTTTAAATTTTGAAAAAGTCTAATGTATTAATTTTTTCTTTTATGGATTGATGTGTCATATCTAAGAACTCTTGGCTAATCGTAGGTCAGAAATATTTTCTGACCTAAAGTCTTTTAAAGACTTTTAAAGACAAGACTTTTTTTTAAGTCCCTTAAAGACTTTAGGGTTTTGTGTGTATGTCTATAATAACATTTTGAGATAATTTTTTGCGGTTCTGGGTTTGAACTCAGGGCCACACCTTGAGCCACTCCACCAGCCTTTTTTGTGTTGGATGTTTTCGAGATGGTGTCTCATGGACTATTTGCCAGGGCTGGCTTTGAACTGCAATTCTCCTGACCTCTCCCGAGTAGCTAGGATTACAGGCGTGAGCCACCAGCACCCAGCCTGAGATAATTTTTGGATAATCTATGAGGTATAGATCAATTTTTTAAACATGTGAACGTTCAGTTCTAGCACCATTTGTTGAAAAGATTATCTTATCCCTTCTTCACTGAGTTGCACTTGCAACTTTGTCAAAAGCCAACTGACCATACTTGTGTGATCTATTTTTGGATTTTATTCAGTTCTATCTATCTCTATGCATCTGTCCTTTTGCCTATAACACACTGTCCTGACTGCCATGACTTCATGGTGAGTCTTAAAGTCAAGTATTGTGAGTCTTTCAACTTTTGTTCTCTCCAGGTTTTCTTACCTATTCGAGTCCTCTGCTTTCTTTCATGGGACGTTTAGAATCAGTTTGCCGATACCTGCAAATTGTCCTGTTGGGATTTTGATTGCTTCATATTTACCAATTTCTCCCCTCTTCCTATGGGTTATCTCAAAGCAAAGCATCCCAGGCACTACTGTCATCTTATCCATATAAATGTGTTTTTTTCCTAAATAAAAAAATCTCTGAATCTTCATGGAAATCAAATAAGTGATTACTGGTCAATATTTCTGCTAGAGAACATTGAGCAACTGTATCTCTGAGTGTCACAGCTCACTTTTTTAAACATTTTTTTTTGCAGTACTGTAGATTGGACCCAAGGCATTGCACATGTTAGGCAAGTGTTCTACAACTCGAGCCATGCCCCCAATATAGCTGGCTTTTAAACAGTGTAACACACCTATATGTACTAACACCACAGATGCAGCTCAATTTGGGGAGAATTAGCACCTCAGCAACACTAAGTGTTCTAATACATAAATACAGTATCACTCGCCATATATTTAGGTCTTTGTTCACTGCTTTAACCAATTATTTGTGGGGTATTTTGTTTATTCATTTGAGAGAGGGTCTCTGTGTAGTCTAGGTGGCCTCAAACTTGTAATTCTCTTTCCTTAGTCTCCCAAGACACACATTTATTTGTATTTGTCAATATACAGATTCTTGCACTTATTTTGTTAGGTATATTTAAATATTTCAATTTTGGTACTATTACAAATGATACTTTTAAAGCTGTTGATTTCTCAATTATTCATTGCTAGTAGATAGAAATGCAACTGATTTTTGTATAATGAGCTTACATTTTGTAAACCTGCTAAACTTGTGTACGAATTCTGGGTACTTCTTTGTAAATGTTAGATAATCAAGTCATCAGCAAAAAGTTTTATTTCTTCCTTACATCTCTATTTCCTTTATTTCTTTTTCTTGCCTTATTGCATTGGCTGAGTACTATGCTACTTTTTATGGCTCCCTTGAACTTCAAGATGTTTTCAAACATTCTTATTATCTTCCAAAATAGTATGCAATGTTTTATTACAGGTATGTGATAATTCTGATGTTTGATGATTTTTTGTGTGTTTCTCTTATTTCTGCTATGTTACTAAAGTTTCCAGAGCTGTCATACAAAGCAGCACAAACTGGGTGGCTTAAATAACAAAAGTGCACTGTCTTTTGGAAGTGAGAAGACTGAGGTCAAGGTAGTGTTGGCAGAGGTGGATCCCTCAGGGCTGCGATGGAGAGAAATCAGTTCCACATCTGTCCGCTGACTTCTAGAAGTCTGCAGGTAATCTTTAGTATTCTTTGGTTTGTAGATTCATTACTCCAGTGGCTACCTTCACATTCACACAATGTCCTTCTTGTGTGCTTGTCTGTGTTCATATCCCTCCTCCTTTGCTTTTTTTTTTTTTAGTTGATATCCTCTTTCTTTTTTAACTGTACAAAATAATGAGTTTCCTTATGACATTTTCACACATGCATACAATGTACTTTGATTTTATTCAACACCTACTTCTCTCCCAGTCTCCCTTCCCTTCTTCTCTGGCTCCTCCCCTCCATAAAAGTCTTTTGCTTAGGTTCATGTCATTTTGTCTGTTTTTATTTATGGACCTAGATGCCTCCTAAACTTCCCCCTTTTATAAATGCACCAGTTATATTGGATTACATGATCTCCTCTTAAACTAATTATCAGATAAGGACACACTCTGAGATACCTGGGACTTCAACACATAAATTCTAAGGGAACACAATTTAATCCATACCATTTGACTCTAATTTAGGTGCCCTGTTACCTACATATCTGGTTATATGCTTGTTAGAGTACTGAAAATAGTATGTTCTATAAGACTCTAAGGTCTAGATAGAAGGCACTTCCCTTTAGAGAAGTCTGTTTGCCTCTACAAGTGCTTGGGGTTATGTCCAGTGTAGGAGCACTATTTAACCAAGTTCAAGGCTTGGGGTTCTCTAAATTATTCAAGGGACACAAACTGAAGCTACAAATTCACAAGTATTGGTTTACCCCTAGTAATCTACTCAGATGTTGTATTTCCTTGGGCTCCCAGCTTATTGTAGGGAAGGGGTTGGTTCACTTTGTACAGGACTTTTACTTTGTTTTCTGACCCCATATCTCACCTTCTGCCACACAAAAACACGAAAATAAAATTCAAAATTTCCAGGATTAATAAATGATCTGAGGACAAAGGTGATCACTTTTCCTTTCAGCTATAATTTTTGTGGCCTTATTACTTCTTAATTTTTAAAACAGTTTAAACATGTTCTTATTTAGAATTTTATATTTTAAGTGGGAGAGTGTTGGGCTGAATAATCTTAAGCTCACTATTATTAGAAAAAAAAAACAAAGGACCTTTAGTTTCTCTCTTTTTTAAAATTGATTCTTTGTGATGACTTAGGTAAATATTCAAAACTGGAATTTATTGAGGTTATTGCAGGATAATGAAATACCTACACAAAGAGTATTTTCTTATTTTAAAATAAGCGATAATTCTGTGTCCCATAATATGAGAAAATTTGAAAACTCCATTTTTTCTTCTCAGGGCTAATCTTAAGAATCTCACCTTTTATTTAGATTTATTTAGTATCTGCTAAAATGTGGTTCTAATATAGAGTAATCAGAAAAATTTCTCTGTAATACATGACATAGAATTTGAAGGTAGTGGATAGCAACTAGAATTTACTATTACTGGAAGCTATTTTTCCTGAACAAAATCAAAGAAAATCACTATTGGCATTTTAACTTTAAACAAGAGAGATCTGGAGGCCTTTGTTAACAAAAAGAGTATAAGTGGCTAATCTAGGAGAAAGGCATGTTGTGGAGAGATCAATGTTTTTAATGCCAGTTTCACAACTCTATCAAGACACAAATAGTATGTGGGTAACAGTGAACTAATCACATAATTGATAACGCTTGGAATGTGTTCTAAGATGATGATTCACTGGTCTGGAATTTAGCTCAGGAGAGGCTATATTTTATTCCTGAAAGACAATAAATGTCATAAGAGAGAGGGTCAAAGGCTCTCTTTTGATGTCATTATTTTTTCTGGATGATCAGGTTATCCTGTACTTTGCAAAGCCTCCTACTAATACCTTTAGATATTCTTGGATGATAAATGAATCCATTAGCTCCTCTTCCTTGGCTTTTAAATCAAACTCAGGACATGTTTACCTCTAGAAAGATGACAATGATGTTAAAAATCCCCCATGTTTGGCAGTGAAACAAGGGAACACCACCTGGGAGTGACCTTAAATAACGTGGGTGTGCTGCTGGACACAGCATGGGTTGGGGCTATCCAGGCAGGCTGGGAGCGAGCACTCCTCCACACTGAGAGCTCACCAGCCCATCCCTGCCCCCAGCAAACAAAGACTCTTCCCAGGGTGGGGGAAGCCAGGGTCTCACCTGTGCTGTCCTCCCCAAGGCCTTCGGCGGCCTCCCGAAGTTTGATGTCCATCACCCTTGTGGAAATCATATCCAGCTCGCTAAAATCAGATGGAAAGGCATGTTAAAGGAACACGTTGAACAGAAGTTACCAAGGAGCGAGCGCAATTGAGTAGTAATGGCTTTTGCCCATGACGTCACCTGCACACACCTTGCCAAGACAAAGTCCAGGGCAGAATGCCGGGCAGTACAGGCCAAAACATCCACAGCCACAAGGTCAGTCACCACACAGCAATTTTCTAATCTGACCTGAGCAATTTAATGGGAAACTTAACTGGAACAAATGCAGATTAGGGTCTTTCAAAAGCGTTTTTCTCAAATTATGGTAGTATTAAGTTTGGAAAATATAGAATGAAAACCACTCATAGTCCTGTCAACCAAGGATAACCACAACGAATGTTTTAATATCCTTTTTCCAAGCAAATATTCTGTTGTATGCACACACGTTTATGAAGCTTGACTTCCTGATTTCTTTACTTACGTGGCCTTATTAAAATTTATCATGTTATTTTAATGTCCATACAGTATTTCAGTATAATTATTTTCATTTTTTCTTTTTTGAACTTATGGAAAATTCCAAGCAGATACCAAAGTACACAAAACATACGATGACCCTAACATACAGCTACTCTTGTCTCATCTTTTCCCCACATCCCTTCCCACTAGATTAATTCCAAGAAAATCATCTCAGACACAATTATTTCATCCACATAGATTTAACTTCTTCCTAAATTAAAAAAAGTCTCTGACTCTTCATGGAAATCAATACTGGTCCACAGACTTACTACAGGATACTGAGCAGCCTGTGTTCCCGCCTTCCATTCATGCCCTCAAAACAGTGCACTCTAACTACATGTACTAACAGACTGCTTATCTAGAAAGCTTAAAAAAAAACTGGGGGTGACTGAATCTTCATACTTAAAAGAAAGGCTGAAATATTTAATTAACCAATTCACATTTACAACTTGTACATAATGGAAAATGATGGGAGATGTACAAAGGAAATACTTAACAGAGGAAAGGAAACAGGGATGTAGTTCTATGCCAGAGTTGGTGCTAAGATTTAGGTCTTCTTTAATATCATGTCAAACTATCTGTCCTTCCTCCTGGCCAACTCCTTAAAAGCTGGAAAAAGTTTCACCAGCTTTGATTCTCAATTTTTGTATGATTTGGCTTCATAAAAATGTCTGGTCTTGAATTAGCTCTGCCAAAAACTCATTGTTGGAACCTCACCAAATCTGACTCATGATCATATTATCATTATAGATGAAATGAGGGCGGGTCAGAAATAGTACTTTTTCAAAGTCTTGATCACCATTTTAGGCTTGAAAGAACAGGCTTTTTTCCCCTCCACTGAGTTCACTGTCAGTGTAACAGGCAAGGCAGTCAAAGGGCAGAACAGTTATAACAGTCACAGCTGCAACCCAATCCAAAGGCCTGGGTGCTTTAAAATGCCACTCTCTTCACCCCCAAGAAGTCAGTGTTGGTCAGAAACCACCTATTGCCTTAGTGATGCTTGGCGATACTAATGGAGAAGGGAAGCCACCAGGGCACTCAGGGCAAGAGGCATTGCAGAAGGAGAACCCAAGGAGCAAGGGGGAGCATGCGAATGGTGAGGGTTGGCTAAGAGTCACCAACTGTTAACCTGGGTACCATGTGCTGAGGCTGCCAACAAGCTAGAAAGCAGAAGTACCAGAGCATTCCACTGCTTGGATTTGGAGCTAACCACAACTACGAATTACCTCTTGAGAGTGCAGCTTGTCATCCGAATTATCTCATGTAACCCCTACAATTCTGAGTTTCCCTGCTTTAGAGATGGGAATATGCATTATTCCCATGGTGGTTTATTAACTCACCCAGGTGGTGAAGTGGACACCAGCCTGAATGCCATGCTAACTGTTCACTCAGCACGCATTGGTGCTTCTGAGCTTTGGGAACAGTGACAGAAAAAACCAATGTGGTCTCTGCTTCCTGCAGGTGCTGACCTAGTGAGGGGGGCGTGTCTGAGCTGTTCTGAAGGTGTTCCAAAGGAATCTGGGACTCCAAAAGACAGAATCTCCCACTAAATGACTCTGCATGTTAAGCAGGCCCAGCCCAGGGTGAGACCCTGGCTCACTCTGACTCAGAGGCAGAGGGAAGAGTCTCAGTCTGAGGAAAGGGGTTTAAGGTTGTCGAGATGTGTGAACGAACTGGGAAAGGATAGTTCTGGAGAAACCATGATGTTACCTGCCGAGTGTTCAGTAACCTCTGGCAAATACTTTAATCTAATGGGACCAGAACACAGCACTTGCTAAGCACTGATGTGGGCTGTCATGGCTCATTTGTCACAGGTGCTCCTATATACATACAAATGCATCCCCAGCACTCACAAATGACCTGTCCTGGCAACAGGTGTGTCAATTTTCTCTTAGGAAAACACAGTCTCCCTTTGCAAATGGCGCACTTGTAGGGTCACTGTCATCAGTTGACTCATGGGGCAGAATGGCTTGTCCCATGGCTTGAACGGCTCAAACTGCTGCCAGGTAACTGACAAAACACTTCCAGCATCCCAGAGGAATAAATATCTTCCCTAGGAGACTATATGGCACATAGATGGAGAAGTGTCCTCTTCACACAGACATTCCAGGGGGAACATCCCACAGCTGTGACAATGAAACATCATCTCTGTTGGACCAAGTAACTTGCCCTTCTGAACACATGTTCCCAGCCCAGTAAAATTCACAGAAATCCAGAAGAAAAACCACGTCAGAAAGACAAGGTGGCAAATACCTAAAATCCCTCAGCACATCTTTGGCTTCTCACAGGAACACAGTGCTTCTTGCAGGAACTCAAAGTTAAGCCAATCTTCACCCCAATGCCTCTCAAACAGCATCTGCCCTCCACTCTCCTGTCCCTGTTTTTTCTGACAGCTGTAAGTCCCAATCAAGGAAATCTTATTCTATAGATTAAATATGGACGTAAGGGGCCTCTTCAGGGGTTCTAATTAACTCACAAGGATGCCACACCTCTTCCAGCCCCCTCTGCAGGGCACAGTAGTCATCACTGTGTCTCTGGGCACCCACAGAATCCAGGGGAGTGCTGTTTCTAAAGAAGTCTCAATGTGGGGGCTGTTCCATTCCTTCTCTCTCCCCTTGAACTATGACCACTGGGTCCTTCGCAGCTTATAGCAGAGCTCCATTAGTTGCAGTTTCTATTGAAAAATCCAACAAAAGTTTGTTTACAGGAAGAATGAGAACAGATTTTAATACAGTATTTTAAAATTCCAATCCCCTATATTTTACCTACACAATGCAAAGAGAAATAACTGTCTGCTGTACATATAACCAAACATGCAATTAAATGTTAAAGCTTTGGCTTTTGCCCTACAGATTGGCTAATTCTGTAACCACTCTCCAGGCTATGCTTGGACCCCTGTGGATTCTTTCATAGTCCCTGGTACCTTTCTTTCCAGGACATTCCCCAAAGCTCTCATCAAGAACTTATTGGGAGGTGTCTGCTGAACATTCTCCTTCCTAAGACTGTAGGGTTCATGGAGTGAGCTCCATGCTTGTTACATTCATTGCTTTCTTACCAGTGCCTGGGGTGGAGAACAAACCCAACACACAAAACAAGTGGCAAACTGGAGGGACATCTGGGTATGAGTGTCCTTTGAAATTTGTGAATACTAGTTTATCTAATTTCATAGGTGTACAAAGGCCCAGAAAGAGTCACTCTAACCTCGCTTTTCCCTTTTCTAGACTGAGGAGGTGATCAAACCTATGTAAGGTCACCCTTAGGGAAGGGAAAAACAATTTCAATTCGGTGTTTTTCCACATCCCTTTCCACCATTCCTCCCCCAGTCTTCTTCCCATGGCAGGGTTCAGCATCTCTCCCGTGTTATCTTCTCCTAGGTCTCTGTGCTTGTCACCTTTCTAGTCTGTACCAGCCACACTATTATCCTATCAGAAGTAACTATTTTTAGCAGAAGATTATAATGAAGAAAATAACTGCCAAAGTGAATTCTAAATTCTGAAAACATATCCTTCAAATGTAAAGGTAGATTAGGCTTCCAGTAATGGTAGAGTAGTCTATATTGTAATTATCTTGTATAGATAGTAATGGTAAGTCAAGGACAATTACTAAGTAATCATTTGAAGGCAGTAATAAGCAATCAAAAAGTGGGCAGAAATTAGAATACCATTAATCTTTTTTTGCCTTTGTTTTATATGTAACTTAAAAAAAAAGAATAGCATCAATTTTGAATGAAAGAAACCATGCAAGAGAGATTATTAAGTATCGGGCTTTTGACTTGAGGGACCTCCCAGATCTGTGTGGTGTGGAGTGGCCAAAGCACAGACATGGATCAGAGAACGGACTTTAGGGCTGCCAGAGCAGATGAAAAATGAGGGATGATATCTCAGGAAGAAAAGACCATCAGAGAGACAAACACCCAAATCTGTAGGTAAACACTTTCTGGTTCCCCTGAATTGTGCATATATTGGGGAGACTCCATAAGAAACAGGCAGAAGATAACAGCTATGAGACTGAGAGAAATGAGGTGAGATATTTCTACCTCCCACTGCAGGAGATATAAAGATTATGGTTTGAGTCTAGCCAATTTAACAGCCTGCTAGAACAAAATCAACAATCTTAAGAAAACACAACAGATTCCAGAGTTCTTACAGCGTATCATTTCACAGTGTCTACACAGTCAAATTTACTAATCATGTACAGAAACAGGAAAATGTGAACAACAGTCAACAGAATCATTCAAGAGGGAATGCACCTGAGTGATCAAACACTTCAATAACAGAAAAAGACTCTAAAGAAGGTACTAGATGTTTGGGGACTTAGAAACAAATGGAAATCTTAAAGACAGGAAGTGTAATTTCTGAAATGAAACCTTCTCTAACTGGGCTTACCAGCAGATCAAAGACATTGAAAGAAATGATCAAATTGAAGATAGATCATTGGAAATAATCCAATCTGAAGAGCAGGGACGAAAATAATGGAGGAAGAAAGTGAATGTGAACAGAGCCTCAGTGACCAGAG